GGGGCCCCCAAAGCGTCTCTCGTCGAGGTCGCGGTCGCCCTCGCGGCTCCACGTCGAAACACAGAAGGTTGCTGGTGAGCCACAGCTAGGGGGCGCTCCGCCCAAACCCACGGACAGCATGTGGGGGATCCCGGGTTCCGGGAGTCCCTCTGGTCAGGGTGTCTCCAGCGCAGAGAGCGGAAGAGTGGATAGGTGTATGCGCAGGTGCGAGGCCAGTTTACACGACCGTACAGGGTGACATCCAGATTTACACACACGGACCTCTGCCGGTGGAAGCGAACATCCTCCCCCCCCCGGCAACCTCTACCCCAACCCATCAGCCTGGAAGGCACCTTCCACCCCCCAGAAGCGAACGTCCTCCACCACCACCCCCGGCAACCTCTACCCCAACCCATCAGCCTGGAAGGCACCTTCCACCCTCCAGAAGGCAAATCCTGGATTCCAGCCCCTAAGATTCATTGCAGACCGTGTAAGGAAAGGATGCTTGTTGTGTGTGAGAGAGAGAACTTGAAAAGGGAGCATGCATTGTCATGGATGTTCCTGTTTAACTTGAAAAGTGAATGGATTTGTGTTGGGGGTGTGAATGAAGCAAAGGGGTTGGTCTGAGCTGGGCCGCTGTGTCCACCTGTTGTGGTCCTGCAGTTTCGCCAACGTATGGCCCAGCGGTTTTGCACTCAGCGCATCCTTTTGATCCCACACCGGCTTCTGTTTCTCTGCATTTTGTGCGGTTTGCACGCAGATCCAGCATGCCAGTGGCTCCCCTTGGTGCCGGCAGGGAGGGGTTGAGCCCCAGGCAAGGCCAATTGGGGTCCTGCAGAAGAACGGTACTTATGGCATCAGGCCAGAGTGCGTGCGTGCACGCATGTGTGTATGTCTGGATAGCAAAGTGAAAATCTTCATATGAACTGGATTGCCGTTTTGTGGGTCAGGGAAAATGGCCGTTTCCCTGTTGCTGTGGTTCAAGCAGTTTCTGCAACTCATTTAATAAACTAATTTGCCTATATATCCATAAACTCTTTGTTAAAAAATATGACAAAACAAACTGTGTGTGTGTGGCTTTTCATGACAGAAGAAAAGAGAGTTCGAAACCCACTTTTAGCGATGCAGAAGAGATATTCTTATCTTGAACACAGGATTTTTTCAGGGTCGGGGAGGGCATACAGCTGGGGGTACACATGGCAAAAATCCTTGTTTCAGGTCCTTTCATGAGATGCCTCTTTCATTTTTCTGTGTTTGTGTCCCGGACCCTCTTGGTTTATGCAAAACCTTTCTCCATCTGTGTTTACCAGCAGTCCAGAAACCCCAAAGGACCCTTAAAAAACTACTCCAGAAAGGAGGAAGGTGAGAATCAGTCTTCTCCAAAAGCAGGCAGGAGGGTATGAGAACGGAAAGTTATCATCAGACCAATACAGGCAACCTATATTATTACATTTGTCATCAATTCATCATCCTTAGTAACTTTCCAAAGCTCAGATATTAGAACTCTACAGGGGGTGGAGTTGGCTTCAGACATCCGTTCCAACAGTCAACGGTCAACAAAAGGCCACTATTCAATTAGAACATTATTTGCGACACAATCATTTGCTTTGGATAAGTGATCCGTATGCAGTAGTTTGAACTGCCTCTTATTTCATCACGAGATGGAGGCTGTCTGACCTTCCCACCCTGCAGGGGTTCCCTCAGCCCACCTCTTGAAACCTCCCAAGGGCTAGCTGAAGAAGCGCTTGGAATGGACATGCAGCCTGCAGCTGCTTCCGTGTGAATTTGGGACATTAAAAAGGGAGTCTAAGTTTGGAACTGCCCACTAGAACAGGAGGCTCGGCCTTGAATAAGAGGATTTATCATGGAAAGCTCACAACTTATTTTTTGGGTGTGTGTTTTTTTAAATTTTAAATTCTCAACAGTCAAAGGTATCACCTGCTCCTGCATTTCTGTTGAGGACTTGTGAGTTCGTCAAATTTAACACGATCACAGTAAAAGCAAGACAGACGGCAGATATAGCACATGCGCGTGCGCACAGACACATCCAGGTAGGGACAAAATTAAATGCCTTGATGGAGGGACTGTTCTGCTAGCACAGCCAGTGGCTTATTGGAAGAGGGGTGGCTATTTGGGGATGACCAGCATGGCTCAACACTTGTGGTGCTGGAGGAGACTCCTGAGAGTCTCCTGGACTGCAAGGAGAACAAACCTATCCATTCTGATCCCATCACCTCCTGGCAAATAAGAGGGGAAGATATGGAGGCAGTGACAGATTTTACTTTCCTGGGCTCCACGATCACTGCAGATGGAGACAGCAGCCACGAAATTAAAAGACGCCTGCTTCTTGGGAGGAAAGCAATGACAAACCTTGACAGCATCTTAAAAAGCAGAGGCATCACCTTACTGAGAAAAGTCGGCATAGTCAAAGCTATGGTTTTTCCTGTAGTGATGTATGGAAGTGAGAGCTGGATCATAAAGAAGGCTGACCGCCGAAGAATTGATGCTTTTGAACTGTGGTGCTGGAGGAGGCTTTCGAGAGTCTCCTGGACTGCAAGGAGAACAAACCTATCCATTCTGA